GGCCCACCCAGATGCACCTCTTCCAGGAAGGCATCCCATAGCAGCACCCCCCTCCTCCCAGAAGAGCCCCTGCCATTCTGTGGGAGGGAGACTTGCTCTCTACCCTAGGCTGGTCCTCCCCAGGCCTGAAGAAGACATGGCCTCCACATCTCAGGGGGCATGGAGCAGCAGCAGCGCCAGGCTGGGCCCCTCTGTCTCTGGTGGCCTGAGCCAGGCCTGCCTAGCTGTCAGTGGCTCTGGCCCTACCAACTTGGGAGGCCACCCCTGACACCACGGCAAGTGTCTAAACTGTACCCACAACCCTCCTTCATAATGTGTTTTTCCCTGTAAAAGTTTTTGAAAGGAAATTTTACTCTTCTGCTTTTGGACACTTTGGCTATAAGAAATTCATTTAATTTACAATTGTCTAGGTTGTCCAGGGTCATCAGCACAGAGAGAAAAGTTTGTAAAGTGAGAAAAATGTCTACCCCACTAATTGTTCACAAATATAATGAACTGTTTCTTATTTAAAGCTTAAAAATGCTGATATTACATTATGTAGATATTTAATTACATCTTCATTTATTTTGATTTTGCTGTCTTCTTTTCGTATTCTGGAAACGATGTATTCCTGAGTGTTAAACTTTTTGGAAGGCCCCCAAATGCTTGGAGGCCTGGCTTGGTGCCCACGGCTGGCCAGCCAGGGCAGCCTTGCCCCACCCCAGGTTCTGACCGAGACTGCTGTAACCAGTTGTGACTGGGCAGGCCCCATCTCTCCGAGGCCCCATTGCCCTGTGTGCACTAGAAGCACTTGTTGATTTGGGGCTGATTTTCAGGTTCCTGCCACTTCCTGGGTAGCCCCTGTGCCCAGCCCACTGCAGCCCAGGGCTTTGCATGCATTCTCATTGCACCCCCATTTTGTAGCTAGGGAAACTGAGGTTCAGAGAGGTTAAGTGAGTTGCTCAACTTCTTATGGCCAGACTAGAATCTAGGGTGTCTTTGAGGGTGGGATCCCCTGACAGAACTCCCCAGGAGTCCCCCCTGGTGTTCCCATACAAGGAGGCCTCTCAGGGCAGGGAGGCCAAGGCTTCTAGGGGGCCAGTTGTGGCTCTCCAGTGCCTGATGACTGGGGCCGTCCCCCAGGACCTGCCTGAAGGAGCTGCCCAGGCGGCCACCCCCTGGGGTCTGAGGAGAGGCACGCTTCAGGCCAGGGGAGGAGACACACAGGGCAGCCTCCTGGCCAGAATGTGGGCTGGGGGCCGAGGCTGCAGGGCATCTGCCCCAATGACCGGAGAGGCCAAAGGCAAGAGAGGAGGTGGGGCCGGCGCCAGGCATCCTGGCAGTGCAGGGAAACAGGCCCTGAAGGAGGGTGGGCCTCACCAAGCTCCCCACCCTTGGGGCATAGTGTGGAGTGTTGAGGCCCTCAGATAGGCCGAGAGGACAGGGTGTGTTCCGGAACCAGGGTGCTCAACATTCATGTGCAATGGCAACAGGGAGGTTGGTGATCCTGAGTCCAGAGAAAGGAAGTTGGGCTCAGTGAGCACAGGGAAGATGGGGAAGCAGTCTTCCAGGGGTTTCTTTCCCTCAGGTCTCCTTAGGGCCGTCAGTACCCTCACAGCACCCATGGGGAGGGAAGTAAGGCAGCCTTTCCCAGGCCGAACCAGGGATCCTTCATCCCATCCTCCTAGTACCCCCAGACGTGGAGGGAGAGACCTTGTTTTACAGCTTGGGAAGATGAGGCAGGGCTGGGGCTGGGGGAGGAAAACCCAGGCAGGGGTGCAAGGGAAAGTCCAGGCAGACTAAAGACTTACCAGCCCTTGAGCCAGGCACGGTGGCTCTCGCCTATAATCCTAGTACTCTTGGAGGCTGAGGAGGGTGGATCGCTCAAGGTCAGGAGTTGGAAACCAGCCTGAGCAAGAGTAAGACCCCGTCTCTACTAAAAATAAAAAGAAATTAATTGGCCAACTAAAAATACATAGAAAAATTTAGCCAGGCATGGTGGCGCATGCCTGTAGTCCCAGCTACTCTGGAGGCTGAGGCAGGAGGATTGCCTAAGCCCAGCAGTTTGAGGTTGCTGTGAGCTAGGCTGACAGCAGTGCACTCTAGCCTGGGCAACAAAGTGAGACTATGTCTCAAAAAATAAAAAACAAAAAGAAAGACTTACCAGCCCTGGCCTTCCACCCCAAACTGGGGAAGCCCCTTCTAGATTCAAGCCCTGCCCTTCTCCTGGAGCCCATGGCTGGGGGGAGGGAGGGTCAGGGAGGCTGGGCTCCCCTAAAGGGCAGTGAGGGAGAATACTCCAGGTGGTGGGGGAGTCTAAGTCTGGGCTGGGGACTTAGAGGATGGGGCAGTGAGGGGCATGTTGCTGGTCCAGCAGGGCTGCACGGTGGAGGTCCTGGGGGCTTGGGTGCATGGAGGGGGGCTCAGGAGTGGGGGTAGAGATAGTCCCCACCAGAGCAGGGTAGGGTGACTGGGCTCCCCTGAGCAGAAGGCTTGAGATATCTGCCCCTCCCTCCCGGCCATGGGCTCCTTGGAGAAGGGGCAGGAAGGGCTGGGCAGGCTTGGGGGAGAGGATGGGCAAGGAGGTGCCTGGGCCTGGGCCCAGGAAAGGCTTCTAGGAGATGCCCTGGGGACCTTACTCCAGAAGGGGCCTGGGACAGCCTGCCCCCTGTAGGCCAGCTCAAGCCATGTGCTTCCCTCCCCAACCTCCCCACTGGGGCTCCACAAGCGGCTGTGTGCCCGACTCTGCCCATCTTGGGGGAGCATGCTGAGGCTTGTGGGTGTAGAGGCCCAGCCAGCCCCAGGAGAGACCAGCCCCTCACCTGTATGTCCTCCCCACCCGGCTGGCGCTGGCTTGCCATGGCTTCAAAATCTCCCCTGGGGGCCTCCAGGCCCAGCCACAGCCACCAGGGCTTGGCTGAGGTTGGCTCCAGGGCTTGCCTGCCACTCCCTCCGCTCCCCTCCCATCCTTGCTAGCCTGTGGCGCCCTCCCTGGCTGCCCCTGGTCCTCAGTCTGCCCAGCCCTTCGCAGTCCCCCCACAACTCCTGCACACTCCCCAGGCAGTGACGCCCACATACACACTCTCAGACAAAGTTGCACCCCTCGGACACCTGGGAAATACTTGATCTTGGATTGGCTGAGGTGGTGGGTGGGGGCAAAACGGCCTAGGTCCAGGTTAAAAATCTCAGGCTGGGAGGTGGCACACAGTTGGCTCCCCACAGTCACACCTGGGCGCCTGTCCTGCTGGCTATGGCACTGAACAAACCCCTCACCCCATAGCAGGGAGGAGGCAGGGCACTATGCCCAGCAGGCACACTCTCATGAGGGAGGTGGCAGGCAGCAACCCACTGGGCAGCCAAAGCAGGGATGGAGTAACTTTGCAAAATGCTGACCAGCAGGTGGAGAGCCCAGGTCCCCAGAGCACAGAATGCATCCCACACTCCTCGCCAGATTTAGCACCCTCCTTCACCCTGCACAGCCCTGAGCAGACTAACCCAGAGGTACTGAGCACTGAATTCTTGTTAGAGGCTCTGCCCTGGCCCCAGGATGTGGGACAGGAACCAGAAGAGCCCCCTTAACATCAAGGGGGTTAATATCCATGCAGGCTGTCTCACATCCACGTTGGATCCTGCAGCACAGTATTCTTAATCCCACTTCACAGATCAGACAGCTGTGGCTTACACTCCAGCAGGTGTGGCTGGGCCAGGAGGTGGCTTTGGTTTTCACACTCTTGTGCCACTGGCCCTGAATCTTGTGTGTGGGAGCACTAATCTCCATTCTGCTGGGATATATGGGGGAACCTAGAAAGTCCCTGAACCTAAAGGGCTCCAGGTTCCTCATCTGTAAACTGAGCATGCAGAAATACACAGAGAAGCATATAAAGCTTTCACATCAGTCTGAAGGCTGAAAGTGCTGAGGTTTTACAGTTTTTTATTCTATTTTGTTGGCGGCAGCCCCCCACCGCATTTAGAATTTCTGTACAGTGGTCCAGCCACCTTATGCCACAAACTCTCTAGCCTGCTGGTCCCACTCTCAGGAGCACCCAAGCCACTGACCTCAAAAATCAGTGAGAGGGAAGATCAAGGGGCACTGGGCAGCGCTGAGGCCAGTTCCCTCTCTAGAAAGAGCTTCTTTGGCCAGAGGGGACAGCGCATGCCTCTGGGAATGTCCCCGCCCTTCAGACCAGACACAGAGCACACAGCCCTACACTCTTTGAAGCCCTTCTCGACTGTGGCAGCGAATCTTTGTCCCCTTCTCTGGGTGTAGGGCCCCTCCTTCAGCCCTGGTGTCCACTGGGCAGCTCTGAGCGACCCCTCCCGCTCTGGGCCTCAGTTTCCCCATTGATACCCTCAGAGGCCTGGCTCTTAGGCTCAAACTGTCTGCGCCCCTCCCTCAAGGCCCAGTCTTTCCTGGGGCCACTCTGTGTCCGGTGGGGAGGGGAGTCGTTTGCAGTCCCACGCGAGACCCCCAAGCAGACCTCGAGGCTGCGTCCCCCCCGCGGAACCAGTGTCGCAGCTAGCCGTGGGCACAGGTTCCTGAGCGTGTTGCGCACAGACCCGCCGCCCCGGCGGCGCGGTGGGCGCACGACCAAGCCAGGGGTCGTTCACGACGCGCCTTGCGTACCCACCGGCCTGGCGCTGGGCCGGGAGCTGGCGGTCCCGGGCGCGCTCCGCTTCCTCTCGGCAATGTGTCCGGCCGCAGCGCCCTTATTGGTCCGCGGCCCCTACTTTACATAGGCCGCTCTGACCCAATCGGCGCGCAGAGCCTACTTAACATGCACGACCGCCACCAGTCAGCGCGCGCGGGGGCCGGGCCACCACGTGCTGTTGCTAAGCTTAGGCTTCTAAATTGTTACTACGCGGCTGGCCTATCGGAACCGAGCTTCGCATCTGTCAACATTGTCGGCCCGGCCCGAGGCGTTCGGCCTGTCCCCATTGGCCTCTGCCCAGCCCAGTGCCCGCCCTCGGAGCCGCAGCGCCTGCTCCCATTGGCTGCGCCGGCCGCCGCTTGCCCTTATGTGTCAATTTGAGGGCCCGAGACAGAGGGTGGCGGCCGAGCGCACAGCGAGTCCGCCGAGTCTGGGAAGTGGTGCCGCGGCCGCGCGGGGCGGGCGGCGAGCGGAGCCGGCCAGAACGGGCCGGGCAGCGGCCGCCGCCGTCCCCGGGCGTGCGGGCGGCGCGGGCAGGAGGATGGAGCTGAATTCCTTGCTGATCCTGCTGGAGGCGGCCGAGTACCTGGAGCGCAGGGACCGAGGTAGCGCCCGCGCCCCTTTGTGCGCCGGACGGCGGGCGGGCGGCGGCGGGGCGCGGGCGGGGCGGGGGCCCGCTGACCGCGCCGTCTGTCTGCAGAGGCCGAGCACGGCTACGCCTCAGTGCTGCCCTTCGACGGCGACTTCGCCAGGAAGAAAACAAAGGCGGCCGGCCTGGTGCGCAAGGCCCCGAACAACAGGTACTGCCCCCCGTGCGGCCGCTCCCCGCCCGGCCCGAAGCCAGTTCTGCTCGGCCCGGCCCGAGCTCAGCCCCGTCGCAACCCGGAGAATCCTCCCGGGCGGATCCCCGGCCCGCAACCCTCGCTGTGCGGCTGCGCGCCCCGGCGGCCAGCCTGGAGGAGGAGGCGCGCCGGGCCGCGGCCGCAGCCCCGCCCGCGCGCCCCGCCCGCGCCGTCGCCATCTTCCCGCGGCCGCGCCTCCTCGGCCTCTCGCGTAAACAGTGCCACGCGTACAGCGCCCGCTGCCCGGGGTCTCCTCCCGCAGCCGCTCCCGCCCCCAAGTTGTTCTGGACTTTTCCAGGCAGGAAAAAAGTTGTCAGTGGGCGCTGGCCGATGCCCCGCGTGTCCCGAGAAACTGAGGCTCAGTCGGGGTGCCTTGGGGCTGCCGGCCCTCACCCCTCTCTCCGCGGGTGGGTGGGCCGCCTCTCTCTGTCTGCCCCCAGGAGCCAAGCCCCCTCAGAAGCGTGGACAAAGAAGGCGCGTGGAGGCCCTGCCCGGGCCCCCACTCCTCCCAAAGTGCCCACCGCGCCTGCCCGGCCTCCGGACACAGTGAAACTCCAGCTACCAGTGCAGGGGTCCTCTTCTTTGGGACAGGAGGCCTGTTTAAGGGAGCAGGAAGAGGGGGCCGGCTGCAGGGGCAGGCTCCGTGAAGGAGTTCCTCCTGGTGCCAGCTACTGCCTCCATGCCCTTGGCCTTGTGCTCAGATTGCAGAAGCCCTAAAGTAGGGTGCGTGCACTTCCCTGAGTGGGGAGTGGGGACCCTGGGCTAGGGCTCTCCACCGAGTTTCCACTCTCCTGGCTGCTGTGAAGACCATGGCACACCTGTCATTGTTTGGGGGCCCACCTTGGCCCAGTTACTTGCATGTCACCAGGCTGGGAGCTGCACTCGCAGGGGGCTTCAGGGCCCCTTGGCAAAGGGTGCGGCCCATTCCTGTGGCCTGCCTGTTCTTGGGAAACAGAAAGGCTGGCACGGGGACCCATCTCTGTGGCGTCCTGGCGTCCTCAGCCTGGCCAAGAATTGGTTGAGTCTGTAGCTGCCCTGTTTGGGAACTGTCTCTGAGTCCCAGACCCTGGTCCCCTGTTGGGGACAGTTCGGAGAAGGACCTGAGTGTGTTGGGGACTCCTCAGTGAGCAAGCCTGGCCCTTGATGCCTTCTTTCCCAATCCCAAGTCCCTGCTACCTGTACAAAACGGCAAGGATGTGACCTCAGTTTCCTATGGCATGGAGTACCCAAAGGTGACAACCGGAATCATAGCTGAGGCTCCCTGAATGCTTTCTCTGCACTACCTGTTCCACAAACACAACTGATTAATCTTCCCCTCAGCCCCACAAAGGTGATGTTATTTTTAATCTTCATTTACTGCTGAGGAAACCGAGGCACAGAGAGATTCAGTTACTTGACTGAAGCCACTCATCCATCTCTGATGATTCCTGTCCTGAGGTGGGGTCCTGGCCTTCCACACCTGCTGGGAGGGAGACCTGGGGGCACTGGTGAGGGATGTGGAGGGCTCCTCAGCTGGGCCCATCTCCCCTGCGGCTCCCCTGGGCAGGGCCTGACTACCCCTGTGCCTGAGGCAGCCTCAGGCCGACAGACATGGCCTCTTGGCAGTCGCTGCCCTTGAGGCTGTCCTCAGCCAGGCCAGACAAGGACCTGGGGCAGAGGGTCCTGAAGCCTCTAACTTGGTGGGGCAGCCCCACTCACATCTGTGGGGCTTGTGTGTCTTGCCTAGGTGAAGGAAAGGGATGGGGCACAGTAGGGACCACGCCAAGAGGTGGGTAGTGTGCAGGAGGGCAGGGTTGGGTTTGCGGGGGACGTGGCCCCAGTGCCTGCTGTGGTTCAGCAGGAGGGGCCTGGAGCCAGCCCGCGGGGGTTGGGTTCTATAAGAAAGTGAGCAGACAAGGGCTGAGGTGATGCTGGAAGCATTTGTCTTGGCACAGCCCAGAGGGGGCTTGCTCCAACTCTCCTCAAGGACAGGATGCTCCTGGGACCCGTGTCACACACCTCCTTTGCAAGGGCCCTAACAGTCTCTGGACCCAGGAAGAACTCCCAGGGAGGAGGGCTGGCTCCCCTGCATCCCCCAGGCTGCCTGGGAAGTGTCCCTCTGCCTCCAGGGTGGGATCTAGCCCAGAGGTTACATGGGGAGGCCCAGCAGCTAGCAGTCCCAGGGCTTTGTTGGCTGCCGCGGGCCACGGAGGCAGATGGGGAGGCAGGCAATCCAGCCTGATGTGTGGGGACAGGAGACACCAAATCCCAAGTTCTTGGAACAGGAGATTGTGGGAGTAGGCAGGCAGTGGTCAGCAGAAGCTTCAGGAAGGGGCAGGGGTCTGGAGCAGGGAGAGGGCTCAGGGCTTAGTCTGGATGTGCCTCAAGTGGCCTGGACTCTCTGTTCATGTGTGCAGCAGTCTGGGAGGCCTAGCTGGCCTCTGGGGTCCCCATGTACTGGATGGCGACCTGGAACTGGGTGCCTGGCCCATGCTGCATTGTTGTACTCCAGGGCAAATGCATTGGCACTGTACCCCTGTTGTATGCGGTATTCTGTGCCTTGTCCGAATGGACCAGACAGGTGGCATGAGCTGCAGGCAGGACCCCTGTCCTCAGAGAGCTGAGCCTGGGACCAAGACGGCCAGTCCAGGCAGTGCATGGCTCCTAAGGGAAGCAGGAGGGTCAACCTCGGTGTCCCCTTGCACTCACTGGCCCACCAAGCACCTGGGTATCAGAAGCCCCCTCATGGGCTGAGTTGACTGAGACTTCTCTGTCCCTGGGTGTCCCTATTGGTCCTGTGAGCTGTGATCATGTGGGTATGTGAGTCCGGTAAGCTGGTGTTGTCAGGACACGACCACCGGTCTCCTGAGGACCTGGTCTCTGTTCTCTGAGCTCAACCTGCCGTTGGTCCTCTGTGCTGGCCCATGTTGGTTCTAAGGACACAGCGAACCTTAGGGAGTGGGGAGCAGAGAAGGCAGGCTGCTGGCTGCCTGGGCAACTGTGGGGTGCTGGGTGGGTAAGCCCCAGGACTGGCTATTGCTGCTCTCTGGGCCTCCCCCACCCCTTCCAGAAGGGGTCTGGATCCTCCTGCCAGCCAGAGCCCTTGTGGGCCTTGCTAAGTGGCCTAGTGGGACACCCTAGACCCACCTGCACCTCCGTGCCTCACTGTCCTTGTGGCTCAGTGTGTGGTTCCTGTAGGCCCTTGGCTGGCAGTTGCTCACCTGCCCCAGCCCTCACTGCCCTGGGCCATTTTGGATCCCATACCCACCTAGCTGCTGTCTGCAGGTCCCTACCCCTCCCCAGCCGGTCTTTATATTCTGGTGGTCGGGCAGTGCAGTGAGCTCTGTCTTTCTGTCTCTCTGAACAGGTCTTCACACAACGAGCTAGAAAAGCACAGGTAAGTGACATCTCCCCAGTCCCCCAGTTGAGCTGCCTGACACACCTGGCCCCACTCTGCTGAGGGGATGCTGTGGCTGCTGAACCCCCCACCTGGCCTGGCCTGGGCGTGGCTGACTATGCTGCCAGGCTGTCTACCCTCGTCTTGGGAAGGGTCCTCCTTAAAGGAGAAGGCCAGGGTCACTGTTGTGCTGGGAGGCGGGGGATAGCGGGGCTACCCAGGCTCTGCTCCAGGGAGTTTAGCCTGGGGGCCAGAGCCAGGTGGTGGCAGGGTCTTGGAGCAGGACCCATTGTGCAGTGGATGATGGGCTGTGATCAGGAGTTGGGGCCTCTGATCCCTCAACCCCATGCCCTTTGCCTCTATTCCTTCTAGGGTCTGCCTTCCAAGGAGCCATGCTAGAGTCTTGTTCAAGGGCCAGTGTGGGGGCAGCTAGTCTCCCATGGGTCTGTTGGGAAGCTCTGGTCTAGGGCAGGATTCACGTGAGCCCCCTTTGTGTCTACTCAACTGCAGGGCTGGGTCCACGGGGGAGCATGGCCACCTAGGAGTCCCTCTGTCCTGGTCCCAGTTAGCCCGGGGCCCTGCTTGTAACGTTACTGGGTGTCCCTTCCCTAACTGGTGCTGGCCTGAGGCTGCTAGGGCTGCAGACCCAGCTGTGCCAACGGGACGTGGTACAGTGAGCTCGTGAGCCTTGGGTGGGTACAAAGGCTCCATAGGCTAGGCAGTGCCAAAGGCAGGAGCCCCCTGCCAGGATCAGGGAGACCCCCTGAGGGATGCTGGGTGATCTTTCCTCCTGACTTTGTACCCATCTGTGAAATGGGTCAGTTCTTTCTCTCCTTCTGGCAGGGGCATTTCTACATGCCAGTTGAGCCTTCCCTGGCCTGCTCTGGGAAGACTGGCACTCGGCCAGTTCTCCACCTCCCCCCTATGTACCCATGGCAGCACCAACTTCTGCTCCCCCAGGATTCAGGCTGCTGGCTGGGGCGGGCGGCTGGGCAGGGGCAGAACACCGTGTTCTCTGAGGAACTGAACTTCCTGGACTGACCATGTGTGTTTGGGGGGGTTCCCTAGAGACCACAGAGGCAGGGGCAGGTGCAGGGCCTGAAGAAACTGGTCAGGCCTGGAGTTGCTCCCAGACCAGAGACCAGCCTGGCCTTGACTGGGACCTAGAACTTGGGCAGGTTAAGTCGGGGAAGGCTTCCTGGAGGTGGTAGTGAGGACAGACAGGGGGGATGCCACTGGGGGAGCATGTGTGGCAAGGGTATGGCAGCCTCTGACCGCTGCAGCTGCCCCTTGACCCTGGCCTTGGCCTCTGCCATCTCCTCCAGAGATGTGAAACATGGGTGGGGAGGGAGCAGATAGGTGGGCAGCCTGGTGACTATGCAGGCTCTCCCGGCCCAGTGCAGGGGTCTCTGTTTCTGGCTGGCCAAGAAGCAAGTGTGGGCAGTCCTGAACACCCACAGGCCTGGAGCTTAGGGCTCTGGCAGGGACTTTAATCATAGCCTACCTGTGGCTGGCCCAAGGCTGATGCCGGATGCTCCTGGCTGCTGGCCGCAGGAAGGGCTGCATGTTGTCCTGAGGAAGGAAGGAAGCACCTGGCTGGGCCACCAGCCGCCCCTGGGAGGCAGGCCCTGAACATCAACCTCCCTGGAGGTGTCCCCTCACTGGGGCTGGGCTGGGCCTGTGGGACTTCCCCTTGCATGTTCTCAGCCAAGCCAGGCCACCCTGAGACCTGTCTAGCCCTACTCCCCTCCCCTTCCTCCACTGTAGCCAAGCACATCCAGCAGGGCTGCTCAGTGTTGCTCGGCTGCTGACTCCAGGGGTCTGGGGCTTGAGGCCACACATTTCTTGGTCTGATGACCCTCATAGCCCAGCTCTAGGCTTTGGCCTTAGCACAGTTGTGGGGGGAGGGTCCTTGGCCTGCGTCCTAGCCCTTAGCACTCCCTGCAGTGGCAGGGCCCATCCCAGAGTCCCAGAGGCCAGTCTGGAGTCCTTAGTGGGGCCTGCCAACTTCCACCACCAAGCATAGAGACACTTGTCCAGGTCCTGGGTAGACCCCTCCCTCTGCGGGGCAGCCACGTGCAGCCTTCACAAATCACACAAGGAACATGGGTTTGTTAACAACAACTAGAAAATGCAGGTCAACACAAGGAGAGAGTGGGAATTGCTCTTGCTCCCATCCCTGCGGCCCCTCAGGACCACTTGTCAGCGTATTTCCTTGCTGCCTCCTCTCTGGCAGCCAGGCCTGGCACTGTTCAGAGTGTGGCTCTGCTGGCTGGCTGGGACCCTGGCATGGAGCCAAGCCCTCTAGGAGCTCTGGGTCCTCCTCTAAGGATTGGGTTTGCAGGGGAAGCTGGGATGGGCTGGGCCCATGCCAAGGGCCTGCCTGTGGCAGCCCCGGTGACAGAGCTGCTGTTGGTTTCAGAGGCAGGTTCTGCCTCCTAAGTTCACAGTCTTCCTTCAGGAAGTGGTGGGTTTTAAAAGTGCTTTGGAATGCTCAGGACGCCGCAGGGTACTGGCAGAGCGCCTGGGGAGCTGCACAGCTTCAGGAGGAGGGCTTAGTGAGAGCCCCGTGTGGCTGTGGGCTGTGGACCTTTGGGGCTCAGGAGGGCAGGACACACCCATGGGCCCACAGCTGGCTATTGACAGAGCGAGTTCCAAGCCCTGGCCCTAGGCTGCCCTGTCACAGCTGCTGCCCGGGGCAGGGAGCTACGAGGACCTGTGCAGCCTGCAGTCCTGGTGTGCACTGTCCTGGGGATGGGTGGACATGCTACCAAGTATTGACAGTGCACGTGTGTGGTCACATGGCCTCCCTTTGTCTCTTGAGAAAAGTCTGTTTTATGATTTCTAAAGCAGTCTGCTTAGGTACCCCCTGCACCGGGAGGCTGCTGCTCCACACAGGTGCTAATGTTGCTGAGACAGGAAGGGGACCTCGTTATCTTTATTTCCTCACTTGGTCTGTCACCTGACACTGAGTAAGCGCATCCTCCTGAGTTGCACATTCTGCACCGCCTCTCCCCACTGCCTGCTCGGGTCCTTAGCAGTGCCCCTCTGGCAACTCCAGGGAGGTCTCCAGACTGTACTGCAGAGAATGTTGGTGAGTGCAAGTGTTGCATTCCAGGGGGGACAGTTTTGCAGAACCAGGGGCCTAGAAGTAGAGACCCCAGCCAGCGGTTGGTGGTAATTGTGCCAGAGCCCTTCAGAACTTTGTTCCTTTGCTCTCCCACCAGCAAACTGTGAACTGTCCCCTGCACCGGCCGGGGAAGAGCCAGTCCCTCCTTTCCTTTTCAGCTCATTGGAAGGGTGACAATCGGTATCTCCTTGTTTGAGTTTTCATTTCCTGGGTTGCGTGTGAGATGGAGTCAGTGTTATGTTAGATTAGCCTCGTATTCTGCAACTTGCTTGCTTATGTCTTTTGCCTGCTGTCATGTTGACGTATTCCTCTGTTCATTTTTGATGTGTATGCACTCAGAATATGAGGAACCCTAACTGTGTGTCTTTTATATGTATGCAGATATTTTTCTACTGTTATTTGTCTTTTAGCTGTGTTTTTTTTCTTTCTTGTACAAATGTCTTTGATTGTAATAGTAATATGTGGTTTTTTTAGCATAGAAAACCTGGAAAATACAGAAAAGCACAAAGCTGAAGAAATAAACGTTGCCAACCGCATCACCTGGAGATGCACGCTTCCTGTGCTTCATTGTGTTTTGTTGAGTCTCTTGTGTGCGTCTGCTGTTTTATTTTTAAACAAAATTGGGTCACTTGTCACATATGTAGTTCCGTATTCCAATTTTTTGTCACTTAACATTCATGATGTGACAGTATAGATACACTAAAATGATGATGAGGCTGTCTTTGGGTGGTAGAATTTGGGGATACTTCTAATTATTTTTCTTTTTGTTGATTTGCATCTTCTAATTTTTCCACAGTAGTTATGTGCTGCCAATGTAATTAAATGGTGGATTGTAGAAATTGCCATTTGTTCTATAACAGGTGGGCCAGGAAAGGAGGGCCCCTGGCAGCATCCCCACCTACAAGCTTAGTCCAGTGATGGCTGTAGGATGGTGGGGACACACCCTCACCCAGCTTGGTGCCTCTTGCCCGCACAGTTCCTGGGGTGATGGGTCATGGGCACTGACCCCTGGGGGGTGAAGAGGCTGAGGTTCCAGGCACTTAAGGCAGTCATGGAACGGTGGCCTGGGATCCCCCCCATGCCTGTGTAAAGTTGTTGGAGAGGGGGTGTTGAAGATCCTTCAACATGGAGGTGGAGTCAGTATCAGTACAAATTCATGCCAGTTTCAGTCCTGTGTCCTGGAAGTTCTTTTTTTTTTTTTTTTTTTTTTTTTTTGAGACAGAGTCTCACTTTGTTGCCCTGGCTAGAGTAAGTGCCCTGGCGTCAGCCTAGCTCACAGCAACCTCAAACTGCTGGGCTCAAGTGATCCTCCTGCCTCAGCCTCCCAAGTAGCTGGGACTACAGGCATGCACCACCATGCCCAGCTAATTTTTTGTATATATATTTTTAGTTGGTCAATTAATTTCTTTCTATTTTTAGTAGAGATGGGGTCTCGCTCAGGCTGGTTTTGAACTCCTGACCTCAGCAATCCGCCCGCCTCGGCCTCCCAGAGTGCTAGGATTATAGGCGTGAGCCACCACACCCGGCCTGGAAGTTCTTCTTAAGGTTTAACTCAGGTTCATCCAGAAGAACTTCTAGGTCCCATGGTGTGGTGGGCTGGGGCACTGGGTGAGGTGCTTTGTCAGTAGAGGTTGCTGTGTGGATGTGGGTGACAGCCGTAGGGCCACAGGTTGCAGCCCTCCCCTGAGGAGCAGGACTGTTATGGCTCTGTAGATTCCCTGCACCCAGCAGCTCCTCCTTTGGGCTTCAGGATCCTCTGTCCAGAGGAAATGGCCGTCCTGCCTGCTTCCCTCCCAGGGAGACTGGATTTGCTGGGGCTTTTGAACACTGGGAGCAGAGATGACAAGGTGGGGACGCTTGATGTTAATACTGCTGGGGGAAAGGAGCATGCACAGGCATTGGTGACAATAGGGCAGTTGGGCAGCAGGTTTCCAAAAGCCTCAAAAAATATTCCTACCCCTTGACCTGGCAGTTCTACTCCTAAGAATCTCTCCTAAGCAGAGCGTCCTGTGTTTGCAAGTGACCTTGGCAGCCGGTGGGCTGGGCAGTCTGGTACTGGGCATGGCTGTGATGAAGCCCATCTGCGTCCTGGGGTGCTGGGCCAGGTGGATATGGCAGAGGCCCAGGCCAAATAAGAGAGCTCCTGGGGATGAGCACCACCAGCCGGTACTCCCAGACACACAAACCAGCCAGGAGAGGCAGCGTTTCTGCAAGAGCAGGTCTAGGAGAAAGCCCAGGCTCTTCTGAACCCCGTTATGAACAAATTCTGGAGGACTGTGGCATATGAACAATTACCACTGAGTATGATAGCTCCAGTTTTGTGGAAAAATGCATTAATCTGTGTGGATACTGGGACAAACTCTAGAATGAAGCAGTTTCTAAAGGGAGACCAAACTCAGGGTTGGAGGGGGCCGGTCCTCGGATGTTCTTGACCTGGGTGGACTTGTGGTGACAAGAGTGACCAGAGAGCATGTTATCTGCAGCAAGGTGATGGGATGTAAATCTTGTCTGAGTCCTCCAGACCTCAGCGTACCCTGCCCGGCACCCTTTGCCTCCCCGTCCTTCCCTGTTGGTCACTCAGAGTCTAGATGCAGGGCTGTGGCAGTGGGGCAAGCAGGGGCTCTTAGGGCAGTGCCTGGTGGTGGCACTCTGAGGCTCTGGCAGGGCCATGGTGGTCTGGGCTTACCCTTCTCCAAAGGGTGCCAGGCCAGGAGGGGATCCTTGGAGAGGGACCCTTACCTGCAGCAGGGTTAGGGGCTGTGCAGGGCCCAGCCAGCTAAGCCTGCCTCCTCCAGACCTCTCAGGCCAGCCCTGCCTGCCGTCACCCCCATGGCTTTGCCACTCCTGCCTGATGGTTCCATCTCTGGCTCTTTCAGACGAGCCAAACTCAGGCTCTACCTGGAACAGCTCAAGCAGCTGGTGCCCCTGGGCCCTGACAGCACCCGCCACACCACGCTGAGCCTCCTGAAGCGTGCCAAGGTGCACATCAAGGTGAGCAGGGCTGTGCCCTCTGCCCCTGCCCTGTCCAGCTGCCTTGGCTGACCTCAGCCTATTCCTGTGTGGCCTCGGGATGCTCCTGGTGGTGGGGGTGGGGGGTGGGGCAGCTCTTCAACCAGAGGGCCTGAGGGTGGGTGGGGAACCGCTTGACAGGTGCCTATTGGGGTCTGGCTGGGGGAGCAGCAGCAGGAGCTGCCTGGGCTGAGGTTACATGTCTTGTACCAAGTTTTGTTGGGTGGTGACAGGGTAGGAGTAGGCAGGGCACGGGGCTGAGAGAGACATTGCCTGGGGCAGTCCCCCCATGGTCTTAGACTGAGACCTGCTGGTTTGGAGTCTGGTGACATTTTGGCCCATCAGGAGGAGTGTCCATCCCCTCTAAGGGCTTCCTCTGCCTGCACAGGCATGGGTACCTCCACTTGGGGTGGCAGGAGCTTTGAGGGCAATGGTCAGAGTCCTGGGGGCCCTCAGAGAGCAAAGCAGGCAGTGTCATAGCTGAGCGCACAGGAAGGTTTAGAGAGGGCAGGGTGCTACAGGTACCATTGTGGCATAGGCCAAAGCCTGAGACAGGCAGGGTCAAGAGTGTTCGAGAAGAGCTGTTTGGAGTAGGGCTGTCCTTCTGGAGAAGGTTCCAGCTGAAGGCTGGGTGGCACTGACCCAGGGCTTTAAGCCCACACCACTCTGCTTGACCAAGGCTGGCTGGCTGTTGGGGGCGCACGAGCCAATCAGTAGATGGAGAGGTAGCACCTGTGGGTGACCACCTGGCTGGAATAGGGAGGGGAACATATCAGGCTGTGGGGGGCCAGCAGGGACTGGGCACCTTGTGGCCCCTGGCCTGGCTGAGCCATATGGGGGATGGGGAGCCTGCCCTGCCCAGCCCTCTGTGCCTGGCACCTGGTGTGGGGACACTCCTTCCTTGCCGAAGGCTCACAGCTCCCCCACCCCCAGAAACTGGAGGAGCAGGACCGCCGGGCACTGAGCATCAAGGAGCAGCTGCAGCGCGAGCATCGCTTCCTGAAGCGGCGCCTGGAGCAGCTGTCAGTGCAGAGCGTGGAGCGCGTGCGCACAGATAGCACAGGCTCTGCTGTCTCCACGGATGACTCCGAGCAAGGTGGGGACATGGGCCCAGGCCTCTTGCAGCTCCCCAGGGGGATGGCAGAGGAGGCATCTGGGGTAGGTTCAGGGATGACGGGGTATCCCCAGTAGCATCTGAGCCCGCTGCATGCCTTGGCTCATTCATCATCACCAGCTGCATGCAGAAGGGCGGGACAAAGAGGGTGAGGCGTAGAGGCTGGGTGACATGCCCACGTGGGGGCCAGAGCCAGGCTTGGCCCTGGCAGTATGCTTCAGGAACTGGGTTTTTACCCAGAGCCTGTCCTAGTATGTGCTGCCTCATGGCCTAGATAGAAGTTCTGTAACTATTGCCAGAGCTTCTGCTTCCAGAAAAGGGAGAGAGAGACCCTGGCTGTGAAGGAGCCCTAGGCTGGTGCCCACAGCATGCCTCACCCCACCCCACCCCTCTCTGTTCTCCCCAGAAGTGGACATAGAGGGCATGGAGTTTGGTCCCGGTGAGCTGGACAGTGTTGGCAGCAGCAGTGACGTGGATGACCACTACAGCCTGCAGAGTGGTGGCAGCAGCGACGGTGGCTATGGGCCCCATTGCCGGCGGCCTGGCCGCCCTGGCCTCTTGTAGGCCCTGTGCCCTCTGCTCCTGGCCTGCCCACCTGCCCAGCCAAGCGTGTCAGCCCTCCAGGCCTCCCTCAACTGACGTCAGCCTTGCCACAGGCCCACCACTGTACCATTCTGGAAGCTCCAGCTGCTGCCTGGGCTGCCCGCCTCTGCCCACTCACTGGTCAGGGACTGCTGAGCCACCCGACCCTCCCAGATGGGCAGGGCCCTCTGCAGGGAGGCAGGGCCTAGTTCCTGCGTTCCAGAGCCCAGCGTAGCCACCCATGGTCTGTTCTCAGATTCCTAAGCATTCCAGAAGTATTAAATGTCATTGCTGCAAACTTCGGCGGGCGCCGTGTGAGGGGCTTAATGACCACCACAGGGAGCTCAGACCCCAACCCTGGATCCCAGGAGAAAGGACCGAGGAAGGAAGGAAGGAAGGAAGGCGAGGCTGTCTGTCTGTCCGCCCGTCCGTCCGTCCGTCTGTTGGTCCACGCAGGCTCTTGAAGCGTGGATGGAGGGATCCACGAAGGGCGGGACTTGGGTGAGCACCTGAGGCAGGTGGGCAGATGGGGGCCTTCCTGCCCTGCAGGCATAGGAGCCAGGGCTGGGCCATGCCACCCCTAGCTGGGGAGATCCTGATCTGGTAGGACTGTCAGATGCACACATGCACGCGCCTAGGCACACGCGCTTGTGTACACGCTCACACACGCAGACACATGGGCATCCAGAGGCCACATGTTCTAAGGAGGTTGGCCTTTGGAGGTCATCTGGGCAAATGCTGGCCCCTGGTCTGCACTCGACTCCCCCTGCAACTTCCAGCTCACCCGCACCTTCCTGGTCTACACAGGACAGGGAGCTTCCCTTCCTGCAGAGGCCGGGGTGAGCTAGAGGCTGGTGAGTTGAAACCACTGGGTCCTCAGGGAGCATTTTCATCTCCCTTTAGAGAAATAAAATGCTGTACTGCCCAGCAGCCTACACAGGGGTCCAGGAGTCCCTTGGAGAGGGGGCTTCCTCATGAGTTCTGCCGTGTCTGCCTCAGCTGGCAGAGGCTTTTTCCAAAAAACAAAACAGAAATGTTTTTGAAAACAAAAAAGCTATAAAGACTCTAGGCCAAGGGATGTTAGCGTGCGCCGCCTCTATTTCCTGTACGAGATTTTTGTACTCTATTTTCCTAGCTGTTGTTACATCCTTGTTTGCTGAGGGGTGGGAGCGACCCAGCTTCTCAGGGACCCATCCCTCCATCATGTTGTCATAGTGTGCCTTGTGTCCCATATCTGGCCCTGCCCCCACCACCAGCACATCCCTGTGGCTCATAGGACACCCCCAGCCTTCCCATCACGTGTCCCCCACAGTGGGCAGCCCCTCCCAGCATCCGGGCTTCCTGGGAGTGACCCAGCCAGGCCTGTGTGGGCATATGGCTGCTTTCTGCCACCAGCTGGAGAGGCCATGATCTGGCTCCAAATTTCATCCTCTCCAGCAGCTGGCAGGGGCCTGCTGTGCAGCCTGGGGACAGCAGACCACCTATGAGGGCTTGCTTGCTAACCAGAGAAATAGATTCTCATCTGCTACCTGACTCAAGCCCCTGTTCCCTGGCTGAGGGCAAGGGCTCCAGGTCTCAAACACTGGTAGCAGATGAAGACCCTGGGTGGTGCAGGCCTGGCAATAGGAGTCTTCTGCTGGCCTTGCATTTATAAAGTCCTTTATTCCTGGGGACCATGCAGCAATACTTAGGTGGTGGGCGTGAGGCTGGCCCACAGCAGTGCCTGCTACCTTCTCTGGTGCATCTGTAACCAATTTCCGAATCTTGGGGAAAATGTGTGTTTATTTTCAGCCATGTGGATGGACATCCCAGAGTGGGTGGCTTACTGAGGCAGGAAGCTCCCTTGAAACAGCTCTGGCACAGAACCTGCCCTACAGGCACTTGGGACAAGAGGCCCAGAGAGAGAACAGGCTTGTGGGGCGGGTGCATGGAGGTGGGGAGACTGTCCAAATGTCCTTCCGGCTGCATGGGAAGGGGCTGTTCCTGCTGGCCCAAGTCTGCCCACCATGCCTGCGCTCCCAGCACCTCTGAGAGTGCTTGCTTCTGGGCACCAGGACAGTCCATGCTCTCCATTCTTGAAGTATCAGCTCCCCTTGCCACCTTCTAACACCTGGGAGTGTTTGCTCCCACCTCTGGACAACAGAATCCAACAAGGTGACCAGTAGTGGCCTCCCTCAGCCAACCTTCCTGGCAGCTCAGCCGTGGCTTTTCAGGCTGCGGTTCCTGGGTGGACAGGGGAGCTGACAAGGGAGTCAGCTGCTCCTCCCTGCCCCCGACAGGTGTGTGTGCTGTGGCCCACGGGGTCAGGGCTGGTGCTAAGAGTTATTCACATCTACTCCTCCCCAGCTCCCTGCCATTTGCACAGGTTGGCCATTACTTGTGGCCATGGGGGCACAGGGCTGTTGTAGTGTCTGTAAAAAGCAACCGGGACCAGGACAGGGCACTAGGGTGCCTGTGCCCTCTGCATGTGCCCTCTTGGCCCACATGTGCCGCTGTGGTGCTCGGTGGCTGATATTCTGGAACCCTAGGCTCAAGTTTGGATCCCCCTCTCTTCCCGGGAAGTGACCCCACATGCCAGGCCCTCAATATCCTGGTATAGGCCTGGCTGGCAGAGGAGGAGCTGCAGGGGGCTTTGCCTGCACGAGGACCCAGGGGCTGCCTCTAGCCCCAGTCTTAGTGGCAGTGCTGAGGCCTGTGTTCCTGGGTGGTGGAGCCACACACCAGGCGGTAGCCTGCCCTCCTGTCTGCCCTGGTCATCTCCTTCCCACTGGACTGGGCAGCCCCCGCCCCTGCCTGTCTCTGGGTCAGCTAACCTGGGGCCCCCTGCCCACAGCCTGCTCGGAAGATCCTGACCCCGACTGCAGGGCACCCCTGGGGCCCATGTCTGGGGTACTAGGGCAGGTTCTGTGCCAGATTTCTGGGGCCACTTGAGGCCTGGTGCTGGCGTGGTGGGCGCGCTGGAGTGGGAAATGGGCCCCACCCCCTGCCCACTGCTGGGGCAGTGCTGTGTCATTCTGTCATTGTAATATAAATACAGATTTTTATACCTCACTCCTCTGGCTCTGGCTCTTTCTATCACCGTGCTCGGTTCTTCCCCTCAGCTTCCCACTGGTGGCCACGTGGCCCGGCCTTTGAGGATTGGCCCTTACTGCCCTGCCTGCAGCCTCTGCTTTCTGGGAGGCCCAACAGACCACCACTGGGACACCATGTCACAGCTACTTCGCTGGACACTGTCACACCTGGAGTTGAATGAAGGCGGGTCCAGGTGGAAGCCCCCTTACTGGCCTATTTGCCAGATACGCTTGCTTGCTGCTGGCATTCGGGCTTTGCTCCCAACCAGGGCACCGCTGGGCCGAGGACGGCTCATCCCTTAGGGTGTCCTTGCTGGCTTGTCCTTGCTCACTGTGCCTGAGCCCTCCCTATGCAGAGCCTGCTGGCTCTCAGAGGCGCACCCTGAAAATCCCTCCCTGGGCCTGTCCCCAGAACTACCTGGGCATGGCCTCCACATCCCACCCTTGGGACCTGCTGTGCTAAGGTGTGGTGTGTCCAGCTGTCCTCTTATGTTGGCAGTGACCACAGGGACCCACCTCCTATCTGCCCATCGCAGGGGTGGTTGCGAGGTGGTGAGACCATGTGCCGTGGAGAGGAGAGGCCTTGCTCTTAAGCAAGCAGGGCCAGTCAGAGTGACCCTGGCTGCCTACTGCTCTACAGGAACAGACAATGCTGATCCTCTCAGGGCCCAGGGTTGGGAGTGTGGGCCCAGAGAGAGACATAGAAATGCCTGCCTTGAGTTCTGGAGAGTTGATGAAGTGGTGTAGCCAGAATGGGGATTTCCTGAGAGCATGGGGGCACCATACTGGACATAGGCAGCAGCACAATGGAGACGGCTCAGCAGGACCTGCTGGCAGGTTCTGGGGTGGGCACAGGAGAGGACTGAGTTCTTCCTCCCCACCCCAGCAGAACAGTGGACTCTGGATTCTTGAGCCTGTGTGATGCCCCCTCCCTCCACCTGCCAACCCGGAGTCCTAGAGGCCTTTAGTGGGACACCACTAGAAAAGGGGATTCTTGCTGGGTTTGCAGCTGGGGCTTCAGAGCACTGGGATTTGGGCATTAATGTAAGTGTAGACATCTGAATTCCAAATATTATTATGATTTAGAATCAACCACCACCTCATTTTCTATTGAGGGCATGTGGCTGCCAGGGGCCAAGCTGAGCACTTTGTGTAATTAGTGCCTGTCTGGTCATGCTGGGCCCATTTCACAGGCAGAAACTGAGGCTCAGGGAAGGTGTCCCCTCCCCAGCTCACTGGGCTGGAGGGTGGTAGGCCTGCAACTGAACTCCCAACCTAAGGGAAGCCCCTCCTGAGTCCTCCACCAGAGCTCACCTCCACAGTCCACCTGCGTATTTGTTGGGTTACAGCAAATGCCACCATTGGGGCACCTGCTGCATCTCAGCTCTCCTGCCCAATTTTCCTGGCAGCCAGAATTACCTCTAGCTGGTCTTGTTGTTCCCCTCTCTCAAATTCTCCTCTGGGTCTCCAAAGCCCACTCCTGCCCATGTCCCAGCACTCTCCAGCTCTGCCTGGGCCTCCTCTGGGAACTGTCCTGAGTCCCCTCTGTCCTTGCCTTTACATTTTTGCTGGGATTGCGGCCACCCACATGAGGTGCTGGAATAATCTAGGCTGATCACCAGCAGGGCCTTTCCTTCCTCCTTTCCCAATCCCTAGCCATTCCAGGTGCACAGTAGTCCCACGGAAATCTTCCCAGAGGGCAAACACGTTATTCCTCTGGTTCCTTCTTCGTAGCCGCCTTTGGCATCCTCAGCCTGTCCTGGGGCCTTTTACAAGAACCCCACTCAGGGTCCTCTGCCCACACATCCCCTGCCAGCCCTCCTGGCCCCCTGCTGCCCTTCACTTGGCCACTGTGTGACTTCTGTTGGGTTTGGTGCTGACCCAAACCGGCCCAAGTTTGGGGACTGAGTTTCCCCCTTTGTCACATGGATGTCAAGAGGACAGAAAACAAAATCTTCCCCCACCCTCCTCCAACCCCCTGGTACCAGCATGGTCTTCAGCTCTCTTGTTAATAGGAAGAAAACAAAGGCTGCCCGATGCCAGCTCTCTTCTCCATACCCATGCTACAGGATCTGTCCTGCACCTTGTCTCTTGCCACTTTTGCCACTTCTGTTCCTGCAGAATCATGCTTCTAACACATCTGACAGTGACTCTCGCACTTAGAAACGGCCCCCATTCCCCACCGCTTGCAGAATAGAATCCCACCATCTTCATTGAGAACCACATCTAAAAACAAATAATCTTTAACATCAGACTATCACTTCTAAAGTTTAAAAATAGTCTGAAAAGACATTGTCCAAAACCTAAAATACTTTTTAATATCAATAAGAGGGGGGAAAAAAGCTTCCAACCGGAAGGAGAAAAAGCAAACAGTAAAAACACTTGGTCCTCACAGCTCTGTGTTTAAGTCTGTTTAGTCCATTATAGTCTCATAGGCTTTCTCAGGGAGGATTAATTCCTGGGTCCCTCATATCTTTTGACCCTACTAAAACCCCAAATGATTTTGATTGGTGAAAAGAAAGCTTATTCTGGAAATAACAGATTTGCTTTCTTAAATTCCAATGCAACCTCAAGAAAACTTTCTAAGTCTGCATAGTTAAACCTATTGTGTTTGTCATTTGTATTCTGGGGGCTACTGAGACTATAATTTACTTTATGTTTTTATAGCTTTTTATGGCCCTACAAACACCTTGCAAACAAATAACTATGGTCAGTAATTCAATTTGTGGCCCCAGAAAGCACCGAGGAGTCACTAGGAAAAATGGCTTTCCAGAATGACTTCTAGGCTCTGGAGTGTACCCCTCCTGCCCTCCAGGGATCTCTTTCTTTCTATATAGTAGCCCCTTTTCTTTCTGGCATCTTTAATGCTGTCTCCTCTGAGTTCCTCCTCACAGTCTATAAATACACCCAAGTGCCTCCCATTTTAAAACAAAACAAAACCAAAAATCCTCTCCTCAGCCCTGCATTCCCACCCCCTCATCTTGTGTCATGTTGTCCGCTCTCTCTCCCTCCCTCTCTCTTCCCTCAGTCTTTGCCGCCTCAGCAAAATTTCCTGAAGGCGTCCCCTGCACAGACTGCACTTCCTCCCTGACAAGCAGGCTCCACTGCTGTTCCCAGAAGCACTGGTGCGGAGGCAGGGCCCTGCGGCTCCAGCTTCCCTGGTTGCCCTGCCTCAGGTTAGGCACCACTCTGTGAATTTCTCCCCTGTAATGTTTGTTTTTCAGATCATTTTAGGCTTTATTGACTTTTGAAAGAGGAGGATAAAAAAGTAAAAGTAGTGAAGAATGAATAGGAAGTATCTTTGACTCAAGATTAATTCATAATATCTGCCTTACAACATTTTTTTCTCTTTAAAAGCATTAAGATTCACTTGGTTCCCTAAAAAAAAAAAGCATTAAGACAAACTATCCAAAAGACTTTTACCTAGTCACCCTAGACTAGAACATCATTCAAGCAGTCACCTTAGGGTCATTTGACACTGGGGAAAGGGAGTACTATTAATTCATGACCAAAGCACACACTTTGCAAATTTAGGTTAACTTGTAGAATACTGGTAAATTGCAAATGCCTTTTGTTTAGTAGAGATGCAAACAAATTCTGTCCAATACAAATGATGACCTAAAGGTCTGGTTTCACTGTACTGTAGGGCATCAATGGGGTTTGCATTAAATTTAGCAAGCTTATTTCAGCGTCCTTTCTTTTCATTGACGGCATATGTCCTTTCTGGCATCCTTGGAAATAGTGTTCCATCCTTACTACTTAAATACATCTTTGACACATAGCCACTCTATGTTTATATGAGTTTATTTTTAACATTTTGAAAATGGGACTGTGGAGGAAGTCAGCTTTTGCTTAGCGGTCAGGTGAGGACTTAGGAATCATGTTCTTTTGCAAAATAATGTTCATTGTAAAAGATTCTAAAGCGATCACTAAACTCTTAAAATGTACCAGGCCCTGCTCTGATTGCTGTGGACACACGAACTCGTTTATCTCGTAGAAGAGCCCTATTAGTGGACCTTCCACAGGTGGGACACAGGCAAATCGGCACAGACCTGCCTAGGTCACGCAGCTGGGCAGCCACCGGGCTGGGGGTTGTACCAGACTCTCCGGCTCCGGTCCATGCCCCTAATTATTAACCTAGGCCTTTCACCTCTGCCCCTAAAAGTGGATTTGAGTACGGTTGAGGGCAGAACTGCAAACAGAACTTAAGGCTGAGGCTGGGCGCGGTGGCTCACGCCTGTAATCTTAGCACTCTGGGAGGCCGAGGAGGGTGGATTGCACAAGGTCAGGGGTTCAAAACCAGCCTGAGAAAGAGAGAGACCCGTCTCTACTATAAATAGAAATAAATTAATTGGCCAACTAAAAATATATAGAAAAAATTAGCCGGGCATGGTGACGCATGCCTGTAGTCCCAGCTACTCGGGAAGCTGAGGCAGAAGGATTGCTTGAGCCCAGGAGTTTGAGGTTGCTGTGAGCTAGGCTGACACCACGGCACTCCCTCTAGCGTGTGCAGCAAAGTGAAACTCTATCTCAAAAAACAAACAAACAAAAAATTGAAGGCTGAGCCGACAGCAAGAGAGAACCCACCACGTCCCAGCGGCGCGCAGCTCGGGCGGTGCACGTGAGCGGGGCGGGGCGCGCAGGGCAGCTTCGGGAGACGCCCTGCTCGGCCGCTCCTCACCGGAGAGGGCTCTAGCCCCCGCCCCACTGGAGAGACGCCCCGCCCCCTTTCACCGGAGAGGGTTCCCAGTCCCCAGTCCCTCGCCACGCCCCGGCGTCAGGGTGCCTGTTGGGCCGCAGCCCAGGGGCGGAGCGGCGCCTGCTCAGCTCCACCCTGAAGTTGAGCCTCGACAACCCCACCTCTTTCGACATCACGCCTGCGCAGTCATCCCGCGACACCGCCCAGGCCCTATGCGCGTGCGCACACCCGGCGTTCCCGTGAGTCAGTGCGAGGCGCGGGAGGCGCGGAGAGTGGTGTCGTCCTGCCTTTGCCTGTGAAGCGAGCAGTGGGATCTTCCTGAGGTGAGTGGCGCGGGAATTTGTGTGGGTTCCCAGGTGTGGGGACTGTGGGAGTGGCCGCGACCCCAGTCTGCACCCCACTGCCTCTTCTTTCCCTGCGTCCCGGGGGCTCCTTTCAGGCGCGCCGGTAGCCGCCCGGGCGTCGCGGTCGCGGGGCACAGGGCGAGGGGCTGAAGGGCGGCCCGGAGCTCCGCGGAGTCAGGCACGTATCTGGGGTTGATGCAACTGGCTTTTAACGCCGATTCAGTGGTTTTTGTGAATGTTTATTTTATTAACCTGCATACGTGTCGTAACTGGGTTACACCCAGAAAACCCAGAGGTTTTTGCCACGGCTGAGTCAACTATATCGCGACTTCATGGTCGTTAATCCGTAGGACTTGTCGCCGTCACTGACGTTCGCTTGGCTAAATCGCCGAGGGTTATTCAGTGGCGCGTTTGTTGAAAATAGTAAAGACCTGAAATATTTTTTTTGAGACAGAGTCTCACTCTGTTGCCCCAGCTACAGTGCCCTGGCATCAGCCTAGCTCACAGCAACCTCAAACTCCTGGGCTCAAGCGATCCTCCTGCCTCAGCCTCCCGAGTAGCTGGGACTACAGGCATGTGCCACCATGCCCGGCTAATTTTTTCTATATATGTTAGTTGGCCAATTAATTTCTTTCTATTTATAGTAGAGACGGGGTCTTGCTCTTGCTCAGGCTGGTTTCGAACTCCTGACCTTGAGCAATCCGCCCGCGTCTGCCTCCCAGACTGCTAGGATTACAGGCGTGAGCCACCGCTGAAATATTTCTAGCCGGTGACTGCTTGCGTCTGGTTTTCTCTGCACTGGATTGATCGTATCTGGAGATTGATTCTTGCGTGCTTGGTGAATGCTAATCGAATCACTGAGGTAAATAGCTGATTCTTTAAAAAAAAACTGCTGTATTCATTTCTAATTTCTTAACGTACGAAGGGCAGGGAAAAGAGGCTGCTTAGCCCCATAGTGTCTTGGGTTTGTTTGGCTCCATTTACTGTCCATTAAAAACAACTGTTGTTATGTAAAACATCATGTATTTTAAACCACTTTATCTTTGGAAAAAATATGATTTTTTTCTTGTTAATTAGGTTTTCCTTAAAAACTGTTGCAGTTTTTAAGGAAATACTCTAATTGCTTATATTTATCTTAAACATTGCAGCTACAACTACCTTTCAGACAGCCCGCTGTCAAATATGTGATATTTGTCTGTCTTCCTTTTAAAATTACAATGGTCTTTATTTGTGGTCTAATACTTGTTTTCTTTCCCCCAGGAGGAATAATAGATTGTAAAAGTATTTTTTCCCTTCTCAGTGGACTTAATGTGAAACTTAGTTTTGTTTCTGTTTGGATTTACTTTCTAAAAATCAACACCATAAACCCGTATCAGATATTTAAAAATAGAGTAAACCATGAGTTGTGGAAACGAGTTTGTGGGAACATTAAAAAAAATCGGTTATCCTAAAGCTGATAGTCTTAATGGAGAAGATTTTGACTGGTTGTTTGAGACTGTTGAAGATGAATTATTTTTGAAGTGGTTTTGTGGGAATGTGAATGAACAGAATATATTGTCTGAAAAAGAATTGGAAGCTTTTAGCATTCTTCAAAAATCAGGCAAACCCATCCTAGAAGGGGCGGCATTGGATGAAGTTCTGAAGACCTGTAAAACTTCTGATTTGAAGACACCTCGACTAGGTGACAAAGAGCTGGAGAAATTAGAGAGTGAGGTTCAAACTCTGCAGAAATTAAAGAACCTAAAAATTCAGCGACGTAACAAATGCCAATTGATGGCTTCAGTCACGAGCCACAGATCTCTGAGGTTAAATGCTAAAGAAGCAGCCACTAAGAAGCTGAAGCAGAGTCAAGGAATTCTAAATGCAATGAATGCTAAGATCAATAATGAACTTCAAGCTCTTACTGATGGAGTTACAAAGTTGATGATGTTCTTCAGACAATCTAATTTGGGTCAAGGGACAAATCCACTGGTGTTTTTATCTCAGTTTTCTTTGGAAAAGTATCTAAGCCAGGAAGAGCAAAGCACAGCAGCGTTAACCTTATATACCAAAAAGCAGTTCTTTCAGGGTATACATGAAGTAGTTGAAAGTTCAAATGAAGAAAATTTTCAACTTTTAGATATACAAGCACCATCTATTTGTGATAATCAAGAAATTCTTGAGGAGAGACGACTAGAGATGGTTAGGCTGCAGCTAGCATACATTTGTGCTCAACATCAGTTAATTCACTTGAAAGCAAGTAATTTGAGCATGAAGTGGAAGCTGAGGCAGAAGGATTGCTTGAGCCCAGGAGTTTGAGGTTGCTGTGAGCTAGGCTGACACCACGGCACTCCCTCTAGCGTGTGCAGCAAAGTGAAACTCTATCTCAAAAAACAAACAAACAAAAAATTGAAGGCTGAGCCGACAGCAAGAGAGAACCCACCACGTCCCAGCGGCGCGCAGCTCGGGCGGTGCACGTGAGCGGGGCGGGGCGCGCAGGGCAGCTTCGGGAGACGCCCTGCTCGGCCGCTCCTCACCGGAGAGGGCTCTAGCCCCCGCCCCACTGGAGAGACGCCCCGCCCCCTTTCACCGGAGAGGGTTCCCAGTCCCCAGTCCCTCGCCACGCCCCGGCGTCAGGGTGCCTGTTGGGCCGCAGCCCAGGGGCGGAGCGGCGCCTGCTCAGCTCCACCCTGAAGTTGAGCCTCGACAACCCCACCTCTTTCGACATCACGCCTGCGCAGTCATCCCGCGACACCGCCCAGGCCCTATGCGCGTGCGCACACCCGGCGTTCCCGTGAGTCAGTGCGAGGCGCGGGAGGCGCGGAGAGTGGTGTCGTCCTGCCTTTGCCTGTGAAGCGAGCAGTGGGATCTTCCTGAGGTGAGTGGCGCGGGAATTTGTGTGGGTTCCCAGGTGTGGGGACTGTGGGAGTGGCCGCGACCCCAGTCTGCACCCCACTGCCTCTTCTTTCCCTGCGTCCCTGGGGCTCCTTTCAGGCGCGCCGGTAGCCGCCCGGGCGTCGCGGTCGCGGGGCACAGGGCGAGGGGCTGAAGGGCGGCCCGGAGCTCCGCGGAGTCAGGCACGTATCTGGGGTTGATGCAACTGGCTTTTAACGCCGATTCAGTGGTTTTTGTGAATGTTTATTTTATTAACCTGCATACGTGTCGTAACTGGGTTACACCCAGAAAACCCAGAGGTTTTTGCCACGGCTGAGTCAACTATATCGCGACTTCATGGTCGTTAATCCGTAGGACTTGTCGCCGTCACTGACGTTCGCTTGGCTAAATCGCCGAGGGTTATTCAGTGGCGCGTTTGTTGAAAATAGTAAAGACCTGAAATATTTCTTTTTTGAGACAGAGTCTCACTCTGTTGCCCCAGCTACAGTGCCCTGGCATCAGCCTAGCTCACAGCAACCTCAAACTCCTGGGCTCAAGCGATCCTCCTGCCTCAGCCTCCCGAGTAGCTGGGACTACAGGCATGTGCCACCATGCCCGGCTAATTTTTTCTATATATGTTAGTTGGCCAATTAATTTCTTTCTATTTATAGTAGAGACGGGGTCTTGCTCTTGCTCAGGCTGGTTTCGAACTCCTGACCTTGAGCAATCCGCCCGCGTCTGCCTCCCAGACTGCTAGGATTACAGGCGTGAGCCACCGCTGAAATATTTCTAGCCGGTGACTGCTTGCGTCTGGTTTTCTCTGCACTGGATTGATCGTATCTGGAGATTGATTCTTGCGTGCTTGGTGAATGCTAATCGAATCACTGAGGTAAATAGCTGATTCTTTAAAAAAAAACTGCTGTATTCATTTCTAATTTCTTAACGTACGAAGGGCAGGGGAAAGAGGCTGCTTAGCCCCATAGTGTCTTGGGTTTGTTTGGCTCCATTTACTGTCCATTAAAAACAACTGTTGTTATGTAAAACATCATGTATTTTAAACCACTTTATCTTTGGAAAAAATATGATTTTTTTCTTGTTAATTAGGTTTTCCTTAAAAACTGTTGCAGTTTTTAAGGAAATACTCTAATTGCTTATATTTATCTTAAACATTGCAGCTACAACTACCTTTCAGACAGCCCGCTGTCAAATATGTGATATTTGTCTGTCTTCCTTTTAAAATTACAATGGTCTTTATTTGTGGTCTAATACTTGTTTTCTTTCCCCCAGGAGGAATAATAGATTGTAAAAGTATTTTTTCCCTTCTCAGTGGACTTAATGTGAAACTTAGTTTTGTTTCTGTTTGGATTTACTTTCTAAAAATCAACACCATAAACCCGTATCAGATATTTAAAAATAGAGTAAACCATGAGTTGTGGAAACGAGTTTGTGGGAACATTAAAAAAAATCGGTTATCCTAAAGCTGATAGTCTTAATGGAGAAGATTTTGACTGGTTGTTTGAGACTGTTGAAGATGAATTATTTTTGAAGTGGTTTTGTGGGAATGTGAATGAACAGAATATATTGTCTGAAAAAGAATTGGAAGCTTTTAGCATTCTTCAAAAATCAGGCAAACCCATCCTAGAAGGGGCGGCATTGGATGAAGTTCTGAAGACCTGTAAAACTTCTGATTTGAAGACACCTCGACTAGGTGACAAAGAGCTGGAGAAATTAGAGAGTGAGGTTCAAACTCTGCAGAAATTAAAGAACCTAAAAATTCAGCGACGTAACAAATGCCAATTGATGGCTTCAGTCACGAGCCACAGATCTCTGAGGTTAAATGCTAAAGAAGCAGCCACTAAGAAGCTGAAGCAGAGTCAAGGAATTCTAAATGCAATGAATGCTAAGATCAATAATGAACTTCAAGCTCTTACTGATGGAGTTACAAAGTTGATGATGTTCTTCAGACAATCTAATTTGGGTCAAGGGACAAATCCACTGGTGTTTTTATCTCAGTTTTCTTTGGAAAAGTATCTAAGCCAGGAAGAGCAAAGCACAGCAGCGTTAACCTTATATACCAAAAAGCAGTTCTTTCAGGGTATACATGAAGTAGTTGAAAGTTCAAATGAAGAAAATTTTCAACTTTTAGATATACAAGCACCATCTATTTGTGATAATCAAGAAATTCTTGAGGAGAGACGACTAGAGATGGTTAGGCTGCAGCTAGCATACATTTGTGCTCAACATCAGTTAATTCACTTGAAAGCAAGTAATTTGAGCATGAAGTCAAGTATCAAATGGGCAGAGGAGAATCTCCATAACCTAACCAGCAAGGTAAACATACTATGAGACTGGATTCATATTTTAATTGTTGTTAGGAATGGAAGATATAATATTGCTATTAAAGTACTTTAGAATGGGGATATAAAAAGAAACTACAATTTTTAAAATTTTCTCTTTGTTCAGTGCTTATTTATGATATGTGTTTTCATGCAAATAAATCCACACATTAATGGAGGGCAGAAATAGTTATTATAACCTCAACCACATTATCTAGTTTATTTTAAACAAGAGTGCTTTAATTTGCATTCTGAATTTGAAATTTGTGTTAATTCAGATAAAGACTGAACTGAGTTTGTGTGTGTGTGTGTGTGTGTGTGTGTGTGTGTGTGTGTGAGTGAGTGATGTGGATAGAGACTAATTGCTTTTTTATGGGTTTTCTGCCTTGTTTGCTCTAACCAGAGCATGGTGCTAATGAAGTCGAAGTTCCAGGTTCAGTTGACTGAAACCCTGATTCCTTGTTGAGAATGAGTCAGATATCCATCTGCACTCTTGGAAAGCTTGCTTGGTAAAGTACCCACTAGATGGTTGAGTAAAAGTGTAATTTTTCTGAATCTGAATACCAGTACCAAGTTAGTTACTATAACTGACACAAGCTTTGGAATAATACATAGGAAGTCCAGAAATTCTATAGAAGTACTAAAATCTGACTAAGACTTACTGAGATAATTATTACTTTTAAGAAAAACTTAAATAGCATACACTTGGATTCAGTGAGTAGTGTGCTAATAATGGTTTTGATTAAAACAAGCATGATAAGATCTCTGTTTTCATAGCTGTTACTGTATATGTATGATAGTAGTAATAGTAAAATTTAGTATTTCATACTGGCTTTACCCTTAACTTAGTCCACATTCTTCCTTTTTAAATTGTTATTTTGGTTTATGCTAATATAAAATTAGTTTTTGTTCATTGAGCTTATCTGATCACCTAAAATGGAAAGTGAAAATAACTTTAAGACTGTTTCAAGTTTAGACCTACAGTTTGAAATGTAATTGTTTTTCTTTGTGTAGGCTGTTGGCAAAGAAAATTTGGATGCTAAAATTTCTAGCTTGAACAGTGAGATTATGAAACTTGAAGAACAAATCACTCATATAAAAGACAAAAATTTGCCTGCTGTGGTAAAAGAGAATGCCCAATTATTGAATATGCCAGTCGTAAAGGGAGATTTTGATTTGCAGATTGCCAAACAAGATTATTATACGGCAAGGCAAGAATTAGTTTTAAATCAATTGATAAAGCAAAAGGCATCATTTGAACTTCTACAGTTATTATATGAAATTGAATTAAGAAAGTATTGGGACATACATCGTCAGCTTGAAAATTTGGTTCAAGAACTTAGTCAAAGTAACATATTCTACCAGCAGTTAGAAATGTTAACAGATCCATCAGTCTCTCAGCATACGAATCAAAGGAATACCATTGATACCAAGGATTATTCTACTCATAGGTATGTATGCTTTATTTCTTTAGTAATTTTGTTTCTTTTGTTTTTGTAAAATACTAGAGAGTTTGATTTAAAATTGTGGAAGTTTTAAAAATTCTTTGCACTCTTGGCCTTTCTGTTCTTTTCCACTTTTCTTTTATGTGCCTTCTTTTTCTTTTTAAATTTTTGCCCCTTTTCCATTCATGTTACACCTGAAAGTAGCTATTTTAGAGCTGAGGTGGATGAGTGGGGTGGAAGAATGAGTATATACAAAGTTTTATTCCCCTTTAGGTGTCATTATTATACCTTATTTTAGATTTGGGGCAGGAAGTTTGAATACAGCTTGGTAGAATAGGTATTGCTGGGCAGGGGACTGACTGCATTTGGAGAAGGTGGCAGTAGAGAGGGGAGAAGACTTCATTTCTGTCTAGTCAGGTGAGTCATTGAGAATGAATGCTAGCTCTCAAGCTTTTTCTGTATGTCGAAGCAGTTGATGATACGGGGATACTAAAATAGTCTAAAACCTTATACATTTGGATCCTACTCCTGATGGACTACGGCAAAATTATCTAATTGTTTTGTTATTAATAGAATGAGGGACCTGGATAGAGTGCCTCATTGCACAATTTCAGGGGCTGCCATTGACATGATTTATGTGAATGGTGCCCCCTGGAATTGTGTAATTATATCCCCATAGACCATTAATTGGCAGCCCTGGGCTTGAACCAGTGTTATGAAGTCTGTTACAACTCGTTAAAATATATTTTTTTAATTCTGAAGAAAAAGGAAGACTGTTTTTGTCAGATACATGTAGAATGTGCTGCCTCGGATTTTTCTGTTTGCCCTATAGGATGGTGAATTTTTCTACGAATGTTTGAAGGTTTTATGTTTTGTGTTTTTTAAGAGATAAGGTCTTACTCTCACCCAGGCTGGAGTGCGGTGGCATGATCATTGCTGCAGCCTTCAAACTCCTGGGCTCAAATGATACCGCCCCCAACTCAGCCTCCCAATTAGCTGGAACTACAGACATGTGCCACCATATCCAGCTAATTGTTTGAAGTATTAAAGTGGCCTCATGGCTTATCAGGATTTTAATTTGCCAACAAAATATGGACAAGACTGGAGTAGCAAAAGTTTACTATTATTTATAGCTATTTGTGT